CCCTGATTTTTTTTTTTTGAGTTTCCTATTGCTATTACAATTAACCTCAATTGTTCTTGTCAGCTAGAGGTAACAATAGGTATATTTGTGCGATAGCAATAACAATAAGAAAACGGTGGAAGGTAAGGTCTGATGCTGGCGGGCGGCGTCCTGATTTTGGCGGACGGCGTCCTGATGTTGGTAGACGGCGTCTGGTCGGTACGAAAACAAATGTTGGCACTAAAAAATTGCCGGAAAAATCGGCTACTGAGCCCATCTGGAGCTCCGCCTCGCTCCAGCTGGGTCCAACTTACAAAACGAGCTGCATACATGACTAATGTTGGTGCTGCTGACTGACGGCGGCATCGTTATTACAAGGGAGGTTACGGTATCGCAAAAGCACAAATTTATGTAATTCATGTATCTCTTTTACTTCCTTTGCCTATTCGAGGCACTTTTCCTCGACAGGAGGTGCGGAAGAGAGTTTTCTTCAGTTTCAGTTTAGACTCTGACTTTTGTAGCACTGGTGCTTGTGCCGCTGAGGGGTGCGAAAGATGGGGAGGGGAGGGGCGAAAGGCCCATCTCCTTCCCCTTCCCTCCATTCCGCCCTGGACCCACCTATGCCAGAGAGGGTCCGAAATTCAAGCAGTACTGCCACAGTATATCATTTACAGCGGAGAATACTATCCGAGGTTACAGAGAGGAATACTGCCTACTGTTACAAGATGTTCTCATGAAATTCACTGAATACAGCATCTGATTTCTACCTTGACAAACGGCAAAAATCCAATAAGTCGGGGAAAGCAAACCCAGAACAGCTGTTCGTTCACAGAATGGCTCTCCATTCAAGCGCTCAGCAACAGAGGCTGCTTTGACCAGTACAGCATCGCCTGATCATGTGGACCAAAATGGGAAGGAAAATGACCACGCGGAAGACTTTACACTGTAATTGGTAACCAGGAAATGAAGGATAAAACCTAACTGATTACGTCCACTGGTTCGTTGCATTTCAAAAACATTAACATGAAGAATTACAAATTATTACACACAGGAAGAAAACCAACAAATAATATCCCCAATCAACTGGTACTGAATCCCGGTTTCGTCCTCGATCAACAATTTGTAAAAAAACAAACATTTCGTTAAGGGTCTTCAGAGGGATCATTCAAGCATCTCACAATGCACTGATAAATGGGAAATTCCATTCGTAACCGGGATTGCCTTATTATCCTTAAAAATTAGAAGCCTGAAACGGCACAAAACCACACCATAAAAGCGTGCACACAAGGTATAACAACTGGAAAAAACACAAAACTTGAAATCAACAAAAAGAAAATAAAAAAATATCAACAGCATGTAACCTATAAATTCCACTCTCTTAAACTACGTCAGAGTATTATGGTATTATGGATTTAGACGAATGAAAGGACTGCCAACAAACTGTCCCAAACGAAGCGGCAATGGGCAAGGCAATTGAAGAAATTGTGAGCTACGTAGCTGAAGAATCCAGAATATGTATTAACAACTGATAC